TGGAATACAAAAACTTCTATTATGGGTTACAAAAAACCAAAAAATTCGATCATGGATTACAAAAAAAAAAAACAATTCGATCATGGATTACAAAAAAATCGATCAAGTATTACAAAAAAATCTATCATGGATTACAAAACAAAAAAAAAAAAATTCCGTACGGGACTCGCCGATTCATTGTTCGGACTTGCCGATTCCGTACAGTGAATCGGCGATTCACTGTACAGAATCGTCCGGTTCTCTCTAGAACCGGACGATTTCCGATTTTTTAGGCGATCCGGTCCCCTTTTCACGATTTTCGAGTCGAACCGGGCGAGTCCGGTTCGACTCGGCGTTTTTTAAAACACTGAGCAGAACTATAAAAACTGGAAAATCTTGAAAATGGATGGTCCAAAAAAGCGTTATAAGATGTGCTACTTTCAAAACTCGAAATCCATTTTTTTCTCATGTCTATGCATATTGATGTTGAGATGATCAATTTGAGATATTTTGGCATCAAAACAACAGCTTTTGGTGAAATTTTTGGGATGGGCTCTAATTTGATTGTTTAGTGCCCCCGCTCTATACAAACTTTTTCCTTTTATTAAAAAGTCAAATTTGGAGCTAGTCATCTGAGCAAAAGTATGTACACCAATGCCTGTTTTAAGCTTCAAAACTTACATATTTTAAAAGCTCTTATTCCAAGTTTGGAACATATAACAAGAGGGATACTGGGCAACCATTTGGCCATTTTGTGGTTAAGTTAACAAAAATGCCATCACTAGTTAAGAGTTCCACTGTTTGGTGACGTTTTCTAGCAAAATAGGTTTTTTTTTTATCTTTTTTGGGTAATCTAATGGGGAAGTCAGGCTCTTACCCATTTTTTCAAATACTTTAGTTAGTTGTTTTGAAGGTATTAATGAAGTGGTGTTAGCAGGAATGAAAATCACAACTTGATAACTACAGTAAGGGGGTGCTACTATCTGACCCTAGCCCTTTTTACATAAATGTGACTCAGTGGGGATTTGAGCCCCTACCTTTTGGTGAGAAGGGAGTCTTTAATAAAATAGTTGACAAGGTACCTATACAAATTAATTTTTAAATAATACAGATGGTTTATATTCATGATCATATTCCTCCTTTGTTGCGTAAATAACTAAGATCAACTATTTTATGGGATTCAAAGATTATTGAAGTAGAACACTTGGTATTCATGATCATTGCAAAAGGAGATTTGTTGACTATGATAAAATGCTGCAAGAATGAGCGAAAAATTTCTTGAAAACTAAGGTACTTCTAATTTGAGATAATGATAGTTGTAGTAGAATGGAAGTGTCTTTTGGGCATGTCTACAAATAAGCTAATGAGGAGGCAGATGGGCTGGCTAAACAGGGTGTGGGCGTGAATACATTGCTTTTTCAATTAACAATTTTTATATTATCTTCATTGTAGTCCTTGAATAAATTTCTAATAAAAATTTAGTACTTTTCATAAAAACTTATCAAAATACACAACGTTTTTTACATTTTAACAGTTTTCCAACTATTCCAACCCTGTGTGATGTATAATTTAATGGGTATTTTGAAACTAAATCAAAAGATACGTACCATTGTTAAAGGGTATTGTATAAGGCCGAGACCCAAAACAATCAAAGTAAGTTGCAATGTCAAATAGTACCAAAATATGTTGTTTCATTATCAGAAATCTTTTATGATGGTCTGAAAATTTATTTTCAGCTCCAAATATAAAATTTACAGATTATAAATAGTGTAGAATAAGCAAACCGATGAACACTTAAAAAATATTGAAAATTATAGATCTAGATAAATGTATTATTTCCAAGAGTTGAAATCTATTTTTTCTCATGTCCATACATATTGATGTCGGGATGATTGAAGTGAGGGGTTTTCAGCATTAGAACAAGTCGTTTCAGTGATTTTTTTATGTGTGCCTTAATTTGATTGTTTAAGGCCTCACCTTTATATAGACTTTTTCCATTGTTAAATAGTCCATTCTTATATGCAATTAGATAAAATTCCCTTAAAAAAAAAAATCTTTCCCATGGGGAGTGAATCAACAATATGCTCCGGCAAGATTAAATAATGTTTTGGGTTAAACAATTGACTTTATTCAAGGAAGGAAAAATGCTGAAACAGTCGGGAGCCCCAACTCAACTCATCTCTCTCTCTCTCTCTCGAATCAATAGGCAAAAACAAGAGGCCCTGATGAATACAAGACTGTATTAGTCTCATTGAGCTTCTTTTCCAATTTTAGGGCAGCTCCCTTTATCCCACCATTCACATCCGTTGCTCTTTTGCACGCCCCATTATGTGAAGATACCAATAAAACCTCGCACTCTTTAGAGGGATCATACGCCTCCCTTTCCCTCTCAAACCATGCAAAATAATAGCCGTTTGTATCGGTCCTTTTGTCCACAATTTCCCCACCATTGCACACCACTCGCACCCTACCATCTGAAACCAAGTCCCACCCACAAAAACAAAAAAGACCATTAAGAACTTCTCTTATAAAAAGAAACAGAAAAAAAAAGAAGAACTTCTTTTATAAATCTAAGGAAAATTATATAATGAGATCATTTACCTTTGGTACGAAGTAGTCACAATAAATCTTGACCATTGAATGTGAAATTAGGTAGTTGTATTTATTTCATTGACCAAGCTCAGAGTTCAAATGCATATTTTACAAACTTTGTGACTCACCTATGCTATCAGATTTCACATCGGATAATTGTAAGTAATTGTGATCTCCCTATTCCAAAGATAAATGGTCTCATTGTATACAATCCCTAAATTTAATTAATTTTGGTTCATTTTTTTTTAATTTTTTTTTTAAGAATATTCCGTGCATTGACTCGGCTGCATAATGCACTTGTCAAAAAGGGGATACAAAATCAGAAAAAAAATAAAAAAATATTAAAAATCACTAAAATTATTAAAAATAAAAAATATATAAATGCACAATGGGATTCTTTAGAAGTTCACAAAAGTACATTAAAAAAACTTACTAAAATTTTTAGTTTCTACCTTGAAATATTCAAACAAACAAGAAAAAAAAAGAAAAAAGGATGTTTAGAAAAAACTTCCCAAATCATCATTAAAAAAAAATAGGGCCGACACCAAGTTTCTCGGCCAAGTCCAAATGGACTCGGTTAAGTCCCGAAACGCTAATTAATAATGAAGTGAGAAATTTATGTATGGACTGAAAAGAAAAGATGGGGTCTTATGATCCATAAAACAAATATATATGATGCGTTTTTCTCTATTTGATCTAAATCGTAGAACAAAAAAATGGAATCTAAAATTTAACTTATTAAGGTGCATGTTTAATAAGTTATTAATGTAATCAACCCATGATATAGGTTTGGAAGCAATGGAATAAGTTACACCGTTCTCCTTTAGTGGCGATCCATTTCACCCTTAATATTTTGGGAAAGGTTTTTATATTTTCTCTATTGTATAAAAGATATATACTTCTCCTCCTCATCGAGCCGTTCAATTTAGATCAAGTGCGCCACTGACCATTTGATATAGATCTGATCCTTCATAGTATTTATTTTTAATTTTTATCTACAAATTATATGAATATAAAATTTGGTATGTACCATCATCTCAATGAAAGGTACTTAAAAATAATATTAAAAAATATTAATAATCAAAATACCTATAAAATATAATAACCAAAATACCCATAAAACTTTCAGGGGCAGTTTGGTTATTTTATTTTATTAAGAATATTATTTTTATATTTTTTACAAGCGCAAGTTTGAGAGAGGCGTGAACATCCAAAATTTTGTGTTAAAATGTTTTGTAGAAAAAAATTAAAAATAAAATAGTGAAAAAATATGGCATTGTAATTGAAGTCATCTCAACCGTCCATTCGAATGGACGTTTGAATAGTGAGAAATATATCAGTCATATGTAGTAGGGAAAGTATATTTTGCTTGCCCTTATATTTTAAAAAAGACATGTTTAATAGGTTGAAAACTCGTACTTTGCGATGCGATAGAAGTTTATATTATAATAATCAAAACCTAGAGATGTTTTGAAACAATGGATTGGCATTTTGAAAATAAGATCCTTTCATGTCGAAGGCAAGCTTATTATTAAGTCAAAACATCTTTTTAGCATTGGGAACTCATGAAACTCCTATCAATTAAACATACAAGGATGCACTTTACATGGGGCCTAGGTTATATGAAAATAAAGTAAAGCCTCACCTTGAATTCTCATATGGAAAGTACTTTAGGCATTGGAAATCTCCATGATGACTCTAAAATCGATTTTCAACATTAATTATAAAATTTGAAGCTAAAAAAATGGTACAAATATTGCAGATCCTAAAACACTTATGTTTAGGATGAAATAAATGGTCAAGATAATGAGTTGTATAATACAACTTATTTTTAGGGCTTGAAATCATATCTTTTGTTTACAATTATAATGGTCAAAGCCAATGTGATCGATTTAAAGGTTTTTCAATGCTAGATTTATAACTTTTTGTGAGTTTTGAGGTGACACATTACTTATTTTGATAGGGTAGCAACCCTGTCAAAATACTTTCCAACATACAATTTAGGCATGTTCATAAATTTCCTCATTTCTATAAAAAAATAAATAAATCCAAGGGATGTCATATTATCTGTATTATTTTATACTTTGCACCCTACACAAAGTTATATGCATAAATCATTTAAAAAAAAGTCATTAATTCATTGCATGTCTATCATTATTAGCTATTGCATGTAAAATCTAATGGATTCAAATGTGTCATAACATTCAAAAAATTTATTTTGAACATTTTGCTCAATCAATGGCACATCCCCAATCATCTGATTTCATATCTGATGGTCAATAATAATTGCGATCTCATTATACCAAAAATAAGTACTTCCATTATATACATTCCCTTCTTAAAATATGGCAAGATTTATTTTTCAATAATTACGTGGTAGGAATTGAACTTGAGATGGAGCATTGCCCATGTGGCAATGTTTAGATGGTGTAGATCATCCTACTCACTAATCCAATGGCAACCAAGCACTATTCTACCATAACATCTCACCAAATCATCACCGTTTCTGAAATTTCAATTTATAAGAAAAAAAGAAAAAAAAGAAAAAAAAAAGGAGACCATCAAATATTTGGACTACTAAAATACGAACAGTAATAAAATGGTTAAAAATATGTAGAAAATGAATATGCATCATAATGCTTACATGGAAGAGGAAAGGCTTGATGGAGCAAGTTAGAAGGTGGATATTTGAAGGGATTGCAGTACACAACTCCTTGAATTGCGAAGGGTGAGGCCTTGCTTGGTTTAGGATGAATGTAGTCTTCTTGGTTTGGTGGAGGGGCATCATATCCCAAAGCGGCACAAAGTGATATGGAGAGGAGGACGACTAAGAGAGCCATGCCTAGATAGATGAAGATAATAATTTCTTCAGTGATGGAAGAGAATGACTTGTGTATATATATATATATTACATGAAAGAGAGGGAGTAGACGTGTGATGAACTATATATATATATATATATATATATAAAAGAGAAAGGGAGTAGACGTGTGATGAACTAAGGCCTTCGCTTGGTTGTTTTTTGCCTTTTTTATTTGCAAAATTCATTTTTTATGCTTCTCATTAATGGGAACCCACAAAGGAATAATTGACTTAGCAAGATAGCCTCAACGACTCATGACATTGGCAAACAATAATGGAGAAAGTTTATATAAGGTTGCAACCTCATTCAATCAAAATGTACCTTAAAACTCCAATAAAAAGCGTGTTCTAATAGTTGGAGAACCTTTACCAATTGATCACCTTGATTTCGATATATATATATGTATCCTAAAATACTATATCAAGTAACGAGTTATTTGGATTGTTTATTTTCAATATTTTCAAATGTTTCTTGATTTGCTTAATTTGTATTGTTTTTTAAATTTTAAAATTCATAATTAGGGTTGAACATAGATTATAAAACCATCCTAAAGTTTCTAACACGGGAACTACATCTTTTGACAAAATTTAGAGATATGCCTTAATTGTATAGTGAGCACTTCATATAATACTCACTCCGCAATAAAAGGCATAATCCTTAGCCAAACTTCAAATAATATATTGTTATTTCACAAGCACAGCTAATAACCATATAGTTAACCATATCTAAAGCAGTTGGAAAAAGAAGGAAAAAAGTCATATACCCAATTTCACATACTACAGAAAGCCCATGGAAGCCTCCGACTTGAAAGAAAGCCCAGGTCCCATCCTCAGACCATCTACACTATGGTGTTCGATCACATTAGGTGGTTTGAGGATGGAGATCTCATACTGCCAATAATGTGTTGTAACACGACAATTTGGGTAGTCCGAGATCTTCATCCTCGAATTACCTATAATGTGGTGTAACACTATACATAATGTGGGTGGTCCGAGGATAGCACCTCGGATCGATCGCCAACTGTCTTAAAACATAGAACACGGCCCAAACAATAAAAAAATAACTAAAAAAAATAAAAATTTAAACCAATTCATGGATGCTAGATGCGCAAAGAGGGAATTATGGGAAAAAATTAAAAACTCTACAGTAAATAACCTTTCTCAATATTTATGGCCAAAATTGACTCATTTTATATTTTATTTATTTATTTTGTGTCCATACATAAATTACTTATATTTTTATTTAGACTTGGATTGGACCACTAGGACCTAACTTGATCCCGATCACGATACCACCCATTTACAACCCTAGATTCTTACAATTGCCGTTGGTAGTGAACCAGTGAATAAAAAGTCGAGCACTCTGACCAGTAACTTCCTCGGTCCGTTGGTTTTGGTGATGGGCTGAGTTTTTTTTTTTTTAATAAAAAATTATATAAAAGGTGTTGTTAAACAATCAAAGTAAAACAAACCTTCAAATAGTGTCGAAAAATGTGATTTCAATATTGAAAATCTTTGTGATAATCTTAAAATATATTTTCATCATTCTATCAAAGATTGGAAATTGTTTTCGCTATTAATACTTATTTTGACTTTTCCCATTTTTTTTGAAAACTTTCAAAAAATACCCCCACGTACAAATCGATTTTTAAATTTTTTTAATACTTTTTTTTAATGCCGGGTACTTGCTTGATTAATACGGTTGAACAGTCCAGTTTACCGGTCAAGCCGGTTGACAACTTTCGGTAGGGCATGTTCGGTTAACCGTTGCGGTTCGATTTTCCCTACACTCTAATGCACAGGGATGAATCTTGATGAGCAAGCCTCACTTCCACTGAGAACACTATATATTTGAAAAAACAAATTCACATAGAAGAAAGTAAGAGGAAGTGGTGGAGAAGTTGAGATGTGAATCTGATTCCAAGACCCTGCACTCACAACCCACCCTCCCCACTCATAAACAACACTCTACACAAAGCAAAGCCAAACCCAAACCCTATCCACATTAACATACACCAACGGTCCAGATCGCCCAAACTATCACGCAACCCCCACTCCCCACCGTCCGATCTCCCCCTCATCAGATACGGCACCTTCCATTACAAATAAAAGTAAAAAATCCCGTACAAAACCTGGAGAGAGAGAACGGATTCCCTACAAAATGTAGAGAGAGAGAATCCGTAGCCTCTTTCTAGACTATACAGCACGCGTTTGGGTTCTCCTCGCTAAACATCGAGTCGATTCGATTCGCATCACGAGCAGGAGTCGGAAAATCGATGGTCCACTCTCTTTCTAGAGGGAATCCGGCATTATATGGCCGGCAAAAGCCATATTCCGGAGAATAAATTGGCCGCAATTGGCGGTGTGTTCCCCAAGTTTCGTTTCGGGCAGCATGATAAATTCCTGTCCGCGTTTCGTCTCGTGGCTCGTGAAAGCCCTGACGGGTGTCGCACCAGCCGAAATTTCCATATCTTTCGGCGAAACTCTCTTCCATTATTTCGGCGTGGGTAGAGAGAGAAACAGGGCGTTGAGGAATTTGGTCTTGTTGGGCCACCACCGCTTGTTTTGTGATCGTAGGGCCACAATTCTCTTCTACTATCTGGGTGTGGGTTGAGAGAGAAAATGGGGGTCGGTGGTCTTGAGGTTCAAATGGTTCGGTGGAGGTAGAAATCGGAATTTTTTGCGTTTGATCGATTTTAGATTGCATTGGAGAAGCATTCCATGTTCTTTGTTGTGCCCTTCGCTTGAAAAATCTTGCTGCCGCAGTCACAAAAAAGATCAATAACACCTGATTAATGGAAAACTTTAAATATCTCTCTCTCTTTACACCAGATTGCATTGGGAAAATTTTAAATGAGGTCGTGCCCAAATGCAGTCTTCTTTTTTTTGTTTTTGACAATCCGGAACATATGTTCAAATGCAGTCAACTTCTAAAATTCGTCTATGGCCTGGATTTTTGAAGTAAAACCAGTGTTCGCAAAATCAAACCAGCACTGTTAATCGGACATAGGCTCGGAAGCGGTTTAACCAGCTTAATTGGTAAACCGGCGGATTCAAATGCTCTAACCAGCGAGCATATAAAAAAGTGTTGAAAAAAATAAAAAAAGATACCTAAAAAAAAATTCTACTAAAATATGAAAAATGATTAAAACAAAATACTCAAATGAAGTTGAAAATTAATGAAAAATATGGATTTTAACAAATCGATTTGTGCCCGTGGATATTTTTAAAATTTTATATAAAAGGGTGAGAACATATAAAAGTGACTATTAATGACTAAAACGATTTTTAATCTTTACTATAATATAAAAAATATTAAAAATATTTTAAGGTAATTAGGACCTGGCTTAGGTGAGTTACTCAGGCGAGTCCCAGTAACTCGCCTTAGCCCAACTCATTTTTTTTAAAAAAAAAATGACAAAAAATTAAGTTATATATAATATAGGCCATTCTTTTGACAATCAAGCAGTAAAATGGTGTCTTTGATTAGTGTGCCTAATTTTATATTACCTCTTTATGAGAGGTTTCTAGTCCGGGCAGTATTTACATTGTCATTTTATATCGCCAAGTTTTGCGAACAGAAACACATTGTCTTTTGATATGCATTTCCATTTTTAAAACATGATTTTGCAATTCAAAAGTAGTGCACATTGGATGATTTACAAAGAATTGAAAAGAAATGGTGGTGAAAGAAATAAAATAATAGATTTTTGAGTTTCAAATGCTCTTTTTTTTTCTTTTTTCTTTTTTTTGAGATTAATGATCATGAGATTATCAATTTATGAAGTTTCAGATCCAAAAATACATCTCAAAGATTAAATTTTTTAATAGCTTTTATCATTTAAGCAAAAATTAAAAAGTGTTTTGGTCATGAATATTTATTTTACAGTTTCCCTTCTTTTTAGATTATTTATGAAGTAACCCCCATCACATATTGATTTTTTCAAAATCCATTTTTACTTTTTTTTTACCTATTCTTTCTTAGATGTGTTTTATTTAATTTTACTCTAAACATTTTTTTCCTATTTTTTTTTTTATATTTTCAATTGTTTTTAGCAGTTTTTAGCTCGGCCAAGACCCTGCTCAACTCCCGCGAGTTACTTAGACCCGGGCATGGGCAGAGTCCCATCCCGGATTTGTGGTTTTGAAACACTGGTAGATAGTTAATTCATGGGAAGAATAGAACCAGGCTAAGCAGTAAACCAGAAGGTGAATGATATCATGTAATCGGGTAGAAGTGCACCCGAGAGGAAGCCCATGAATTAATGATCAATAGAAGAAGAAAAGAAAAAATAGGGCCTTACCATTGAGAGACCGTAGGGCTTGCTTGATCTTCTTTCCACAGGCATTGCACCCCATTCTCATCCACCCCTCCAATTCATAACACTTTCCTCTCTCTAAATAAGTGGTTAGGTATGGAAAAGGCCTTTCACCTCCAAGGTTTTATCAGCGGTCTTATTGAGTGAAACACAATCATTTTATTCTTTCTTCAATCCATGAACTGTGAAAGGGAGACAAATATGCTCTCTCTATTGTAAAGTTAGAGATTCGGTTTCACTGTTATTAAAGTAATTTGAAAGGGAATGGCTTTCTTTGGGCACTCAATGGGTGATAATGGTAGGAGAATATTTTGGGTTATTAGCTTAGTTTGTTGACTGATCGACTTTTGAGGGGTTCTGCCACCTTTTACTTTAAAAATTCTATTACCATAATTTTTTTTTTTGGATAATTAATTGGGGAAGACAAGTCATGCATTTTTTTTGAAGGTTTAGTGGTAAAAATGGAAACCCTAATATGATGACTAGAGTGTGCGGGTGTTACCACCACGACCCAACCCTTTTCCCATTACCATGAGTGCTTCGTTTGCAATCTAGTGATGACATGGATATGAGGTTCTCCAATGTTTTTATTATTAACATTAGGCGCTTTTTAAACTTAAGCTCTTGTATTTTTTAAAAAATATTTGATATCAATAGAAATCTTATTTTTCTTAAGAATTTTATAAAGGGTTTTGTTGGGGTACACCTATTCTTTCTTAATGTACTCAATATTGGATACTCAGTACAATAATTTGCTATCTAATTTTTTTTAGCAAGAATATTTTTGGTCATTAAGAGTGATAAAATATATATTTCTATAAGAAACTATTAATAGTCTATTAGTGGGTAATAAGCAATAAAAATACTCTAGATACGTGATGTCACTCCTCATGTGAATAATGACATTCTCAACTATATTTAATGAATAATGATTCTATGAGATCCTCTCACACCCTTATGAGTAGGACTCCAAAGGATCACCATTAAATTTTGACACACATATGTAGAAAACTCATTCATCCAAGTCCTATACCCATGTCATAACTTTTTTAGAGATCTGTATCAAAATTTAATATTGATAATTTGAGGTCCTACTCACATAGGTGTGGAAGGGTCTCATAGTATCATTACTCGTATTTAGTACATAACTTTTTTTTTGTAAATAAAAACGATTTTACCCTTAATTGATTATCTAATATACCCCTAGACAAAAAAGTTACTACATATGGGTATAAAGGTATTTCGTGCAAAAAAATATTGAGTATATTAAAAAAATACTCCATGTGTAAGAATACCCATAAAAGGATTATACTTTATATAAAGTTAAACTTTAAAATGTAGAATTAAAAGTGCACCTCCAAATGAAGGATGTTTTAGTTGGGCCTCATAAATCCATCATAAAAGGTTGTTTGCGTCGACAACGAGATGTATGAATACGAAAAAAAAAAATTTATTTCAAGTCCGCGAAATAGTGTATCTTGCAGCACATTATCTGGAACGTCTATTTTTCAAATTTTCACATGTTTTATAGATCTGCTTGATTTGAACCATTTTTTAAAGTTAAAATTTTATAATTAAATATAAAAATAGATTCTCAAACCTTCTTAAGAATTTTTTATATCGAAATTACATTTATGATAACCTCATGCAAACCACACCCATTTTAAAATTATTATGATTGACATTCGTGTCTATTTCTTATGGTCACACATGTGTGTCTATATCATATGGCCTTTCCATTCTGCCAGTACAATGGTCTGCTTAAAGGGAGACTAAATGCACAACGGCTTTGATGTAAATATGCAGTGGATCTACTTGTCTTTTTAGAATACAAAGTGAAGATGAGCCGTTCTTTGAATCCAATGGCGATGTAAATAGGCAGTACCTCTGCCATTTGTATTCTCAACCGACGGTGGTTGCGCCACTTCTGTACCCACTAGCATTTATATCATGCGCCATCCACCATCTATTTTTAAGAGGAACGGTGAAGAAGAACCATGTAAGGTTAATATGTATATCACTGCTGCACGATGGCTCATCTCCACCTTCCATCTTAAGAACAGATGATAGATGCCTTGGCTATGTGTTACGTAACATCCACATCATATAAGCCCTATGCTACCAATTGTTTGGGATATGTTTTACCCTGACGTTGATACTTTCACTGTAGTTTTTTTGGGAATCACCCTGTTGATAACTTTCTTTTTATTATGGTATACAGGTGAAATTTGGTATCGTGGAAGCTCTAAACCTTATTTGGATTTTGGGATGTAGATAAAAATTGGTAGTATCACACCCATAAATCCTATTTAATAAACTGTGGTACCTGGTAATTTCACTTGGCAATATAAAAACTGAAAACTACCTGTAATACTATTCATTATATATTCGATTAATAAAAAGTACGAAATGTCATGTTTTAATAACATTGTGTAATTAAATAAGATTGTCTCCATCCATCCAATACAATTCATAAAAGTTTATTATGCTTAGAGATTTCATAAAAGTGTGACCCCCTGATGCTATCAATATTTATATAAATAAGAAACAAATTTGATTTTTCATAATAAAAACAATATAATAAATTTTTAGGTTTGCATGAAATGTAATTTTCGTGTTAATGTATATGAATCCCCAAAACCCCAAATTCAGTTCCACGTAAAAAAATTGAAATTCCAGTGCTTCATGATAGCTAAAAAAATTAGGACAAAAAACCACAATCTATCAGCAACTCTCAGCATATAGTTCCCAAAAAAAATAAATAATGAGATAAAGACCCCCTATTAATAAAGAACAAAAGATGAAAAAATTGAAACCCATAACATTCTAAAAATAAATATTAAGATAAAGACCCCAATTACTAGAATTAAACAACAAAACACCAAAAAAAAAAATTTGAACCGCATAATTAAAAGAAATAAACAATAAAACGCCAAAAAAATTCAACCTCATAATTACTAGAAATAAACAACAAAACACCAAAAAAAATTCAACCCCATAATTACTAGAAATAAACAACAAAACACCAAAAAAAATTCAACCTCATAAAATTGTTAATGGATGAATGAAACACAGCAAAGGACTAAAAAGAAAAATTCAAACCCATAAAATTGTTAATGGATGAATGACACCACAATCTATCTGCACCTCTCAACATAAACAGATACTTAATGAGAGGGAAAGAGAGAAATCAACCCCAATTACTCAAAATAAAGTGCAAAAGACCAAAAAAAAATTTAAAACATGAACCTCTGGTATAAGTCGTCAATGAAAGATCAGTTCTTTAAAGTATTAGTCACCTTAAGAAGAACGGTGGGTTAGTAAAGTTTATGAAGAGAGTGTGGAAGAACGAGAGAGAAACGACGGTTTTTTACGGATAAAACGGTGGGTTAGTAAAGTTTATGAAGAGAGCGTGGAAGAAAGAGAGAGAGACATGAGAGTCTTTGACGCACACCGTACCCCTTGCTTTAGTGAACAGTAAAAGGGGTAAAACATGTTCTGACTTTCACCCATTTGTAACGTTCCCAAATCTGGGTAAAACATGCTCCGACTTTCACCCATTTGTAACGTCCCCAAACCCGTGATTTGATTTGTACAGTCGAGGTGAAAGCCAGGTACCACGGACTTTCACCCTTTTACACCGTTATCAAACGCCACCGAACTGGCCATTTTAAACCCAGTGAAAAGTTAATCTCCCATTCCTGGAGGTACTTTTCCGTCTGATCTTTTTGTCCACAATATATTAGGACACTGTCCATATTATTTGTTTTTCACTCATAGCTTTTTGTCTTTGATAATTGAGTTAATTACGTACGGACAAAAAACTAAGATATGAAATGAGTCAACATTAAATTAAAAGTACAGAAAACATAACGACAGTCAATCTGAATTGGTTTTTAAAATTACCTTTAGTCTCATAATACCATCCTCAAATCACTTTTTTTTTTTTTCATTGATAGGGTTGTGCCTTAATGCTAAGGGCAATGTCTTTTTTTCTTTTTTTATTTATCTATAGTAGGGTTGTGCCCTAATGTTTGGAGCCAATGTCTAGTCGGTCCGATGTTACCATCATGAGACAGCCTTCTATAGTGCTCTTCAAAGAGATCTGATGTTGGCATCCTCGTAGCGCAAAGGTTGATTTTGTTAAGCATTCAGAGGCAGTCCAAGCTACTCATTCTCGGACCACCTTCTCTTATGCACTTCAGGGAGGTATGAATTTGGTATCCTTGGACCATAGTAACTTGTTTTGCTAAGAAATAAGGTGGTTTAAAGATGAGAATATCGAATTACCTTCTATATTGGGCACTGCCCTATGAACAGAAAAAGCTAAAAAAAATAAATTAAAAAACATTTCGAAGACGATATCCTCAAACAGAGAGGTAGTTTTGAAAATGAAAATAAAAACAAGAGTTGACCGATTTTCCCCCTAAATTTTTTTTTAACAATATTCGATATTTTATTAAGGAAAATCAGAGATTACAAAATAGAATTTGCATCATCACAAGTCACCGAAGCATCCAACCTAACCCCTTTCTTGGCCAAAGAGTAAGCCAACTCATTCCCCTCCTTACAAGCAAATCTTGTAAAGGCACCCTTTGCTCTCTCTTGCACCATGGGATATTAAGAGAATCACCTTCAACCACTCCTGCACCATTGGATATCAGAGAATCACCTTTAACCAAACAAAGTTGACCCCTCAATCTCTCATTAATGATCTTTAAGCCTTGAAGTGACGATGCTAGCTTCACCCAATTAGCAGTAGCTACTCCACATGAGCCTGCTTAACCAAAGAGATTAGACCCATTCCAATTTCTAACAAGTCCACCTACATTTGCTATGCCTGGATTACCAAAGGAATGCCCGTTGAAGTTGAATTTAAAAGAACGTCTTGGCGGAGAGACCCAAATTATTCTTGGACGACTCTTAACAATTCTCATCAAGAGCAAACGCGAGAGATTTACCCGACATTCCCCATAATTTTTGCCCAAAATTGGCCCATTTACCATTTTACTATTTGCTGTCAGCTAGAGGAATTTACGTATAAATTATATAAAAAAATGAAATATATGCAAAATTTACTTCATCTCAGCATTTTCTCTTTTTACTTCATCTTGCTCCTTGGACTGGCTCTATAGAAAAATCACAAGTTGATGTTCATTTTTT